CCATTCCCATCACAGGCCCATTGGGCAGGCTGGTTCCTTCTCAGTTTCAAAGGGTGGGGCTGCCTCTCTGGTTTCTGTGAGCCAGGATGTCCCCACCCAGTGCCCCAGGGGCCCCTGCTCCTGCAGTGACACAGGGGTGACAGGGCCACCCCAGGGGACCTGGAGGTCAGAGCACTGAACCAAAAAGGATTACTCTGGGGGCTTTAGAGCAGATGGAATGCGCCGTGTCATTTTTGGGCTTGCTGGGGACCTGTCCATCACCTCTTCCTTATCTATTTCTCCCTTTCAAAATGGGAATGTCCATCCTGTCCCCGTCCCGCCACTGTATTTTGAAAGCCTGCACTTTGTCTGATTTCACAGGTTCCTAGCTGGAGAGGAACTCTGCCTCAGGATGAATTATACCGCAAGTCCCACACCTATCTGATTTCAATGTCATTTAAAGGAGACTTTATACTTTAGAGGTTAGCTGATGCCAGAATGAGCTAAGAGTTCAGGAGATGTTGAGATGGAATTCATGTATCTTGCCTGTGAGAAGGGCATGATTTGGGGGAGCCGGAATATTATGGACTGAATGTCGCCCCCAAATTCAGATGTTGAAGCCCTAACCCTCCATGTGATGCCATTTGGAAATGGGGCCTTTGAGAGGTAATCAGGGTGAGAGGAGGTCATGAAGGTGGGCCACCCTGAGAGGATTAGCACCCCTGAAGGAGGAGAGGAAAGAGCTCACATCCTCTCTTTCTCTCTCTGCCACCTCAGGACACAGAGAGATTACAGGCGTCTGCAAGCCTGGAAGGGCCCTCTCACTGACACCTGATCTTAGACTTCCAGCCTCCAGAACCACGAGAAACCTCCATCATTTAAATAACCCAGTCTGCAGCCTGTTTCGGCACCCAAGCAGACTAAGACATATACTTGGGGGAGGAGTGGGGGGGGGAAAGATAGAGCTCAGTGGTAGAACGCATGCTTAGCATGCATGGGGTCCTGGGTTCAGTCCCCAGTACCTCCTGTAATAAATAAATAAGTAAACTTAATTACTTACCCTCTGACAAACAAACAAAAGACAGACATTATACTCAATGTGTTTCCTTCTCTGTTTCCCCCTAGACTGTCCTGCTTTGTTTTCCTATATCCAGCACGGTGCAGGCAGCCAGCCAAGAAGCTAGTCACTCCTGGCCACTCCTGCTCCCAAACACAAGGACACCAGTTTGCACTCACAGTGGTTTTCATTTTTCATTCTAACTCTGCACACACTGTGCATCGCAACATCAAAGAACTCTGGTGAGCAAAGGGTCCCCGGAGGGGTCTGAAGGACGAATGATCTGCAGAGGCTGTTCCCCGACACACCTGCTTCTAGGTGACACTATTTATTAGGAATTAATAAAAAAAAAAGAGTGTACATAGAGAACTGAGCTTCTTTTGATTCAGTCTTCTGAGAATTGGTTTGCTATTTCGCCTAAAAGTTATTCCCGGACCTTCCAACATGCTCCATTTTGTGCTCGGGAGTAAAACTCCTGACGGGCAACTGAATGATATAGAGAGATTATCTGTTGTGCTGGGTTCTCCCTGGTTTTTCCCTCTGCTTTGTTGGCAGACAGACGATCCTGAACTGACTGGAGGAGGACTGAATCCATCCTACCCAGTGGGCAATGGACAGGAGGAACACTCTGACTTCCTTACCACCGTGGTCCAGGGCACCTGGGGAATCCTGGTGTAGGTCATGGTGATGTAGATGATGAGGAAGAAGACAGTGAGGACCCAGTAGAACACAGCTACAAACATGACCCAGCCAAATGCAGGGACCCGGAAGTACTCAGTTCCAGCGATAAGTGTCCACACCAGCAGTCCCAGAACCTGTAAAACGGGAGAGGCAGTGGAAAAGAAAAGGGAGGTGGAAAAGAGAGTAAAGGAGGAGGAAGTGGGGACAGAGAAAAAGATAATTATACAAAGTGTCCATTACAACTGTCCTGGGTATACACGCGTACATGTGACGTGTGTGACGGGGCTGCAAACTCGCACGCCAGGGAGGGAAGATGGCTGAACGGAGCATCTGCCCGCCTCCACCGCCCCAGGAGAACACAGAAACTCAAGTTTATTCATAATACTCTTGATTTTTCAATGTCAGCACTAACACAGAGGGCGAAACAACACACATGCATGGCTGGAATCTGCTCACGGGCTGATACCTGTGGAGGGAAGAAGACTGCAGGTCCACCTGAGGTGGTCCCAGGGCTGACCTGCTGTCCAGGGATGACCTCTGAGGAGTCCCCACCTGCCACTGCCACCCCCTCACAGGCAGCAAGTAACACAGGGCCAGAGAGTGCTGTCAGGAGGAGCTGAGAAAGGACCCAGCCCAAACACGGGCACACGGCGTTCTGCCTCAAGTCGCACATTTATTCCAGCGACGGGCATCCGACCTCACTGCCGCTGCAGAGCAAGACCAGCCTGAAGCCCAGCTGCATCTCCACTGACCGAAGGAAGCACGCTGGTCCCCACTGCAGGCATCTCTGGTCCTCCAGGAGGGAGGCCACAGCGAGGTATGCGTCTCCCATCCCAGCACCTGCCAGGGCCCGGGAAGACCTTACTCCTAAGTCACAAGAAAGTTGGCATCTAAGCCACAGCCCCAGGAGGCAGCATCAGACGTTCGGGACGGGCTCTGGCTGCTGTGTGACTTGGGGCAAATGATTTCATTCCTGTCTCAGCTCTCTCCATGGTCTGTGGAACACGGCATGGAAATAACTCTAATCACAAAGCTGATTCCTCGGTGTTGAACACCTGAGCACCTGCAGTGGGCCAGGCCCCCCCGCTCTCAGGCCCTGAGGGCAGAGCAGGGCACGAACTGACAAGACCCGCTCGGACACAACTTCCAGTCTTGTGGGGGGAACATCTGAACAGCTGCAACTGTGGGAAATGCTATGAAGGGAAGGAAGGCATGAGGAGGGCCTAAGGCAGGTGTAACCTCGCTGGCAGGGATGGGAAGTGTCAGAGGAGGCCGTGCTAAGGAAAAATCTGAAGACCTACTAAGAGCAAGATGGGCGAGAAGACAATGCCCCAGGCAGAGAGCACAGTGTGGCCAGAGGGCTGAGTGGGGAAGTTAGGACATTGGTGCAAAATATCAGAGAGCTTGAGGAGGCTCAGGTTATGTGGGCCCAGGACACCTAAGGATTTTGCACTTTATCCTAAGAGCTATGGGAGGGTTTTGAGCAAGAGGATGATGAGATGAGGTTAAGTTTTTGAAAGACTATGTAAACGGGGACACGGAGGGGACAGGGCAGAAGGTGGGGGGGAGACAGGTTCGGAGACTGTGGTCATAATCCACATGGAAGAAGATGATGCGTCTGAGACCAGTACAGTGGTGGGGGATACTGGGAAGTCAGTGAACGCAAGGCAAATTTCAGTAAACAGGGCCTTAGTGGATTTAACAGATTAGATTAGGATAAAGCAGAAGTACCCCCAGGTCTCCAGAAAGGCTCCCCAGTGGATCAGGTGTCATTTTCTCAGCTGGAACAGTGAACCGGGAACAGGTTATGGGGCTGAGCTGAACTACAGTTCAAAAGCTCAGTTTACAACCATCCAGTCCAGGGGAGCCAGGGCCCTCCAGGCGGGGTTAGAAGATGTGGACGCCGCGGGGAGAAGACATCAGGCCCCTGTCTAAGAAGGAAGACTTGCCGTGAAGATCACGAAGCCCGCAGACCGGTTTCCAAGAGACCTTCAAACGGCTCACTGCGAGGAGCCCACACCTCCCGGTCGAGGTCTGGACGTCTGTGCCGGGGGGCAGGGAACAGACTCTAAATCCTGCTGCCTCCCCTCCTCAGAGCTGAACGCTGAATGCTTTTATCTGTGTGATGTCTGTCGTCTATGAATTCCAAAGAAATGTTTAATGGAGATGTATTTTCGTCCTTCCATCTGTGGCAAGAGAATTTATTGAAAGTGAAAAGGCACAAAACAGGGTGAAATCCCAGAAAGCAGCAAGCCCCACATCAGCGGGGGTTGGTCCAGAACTCACCACACCTGACAGGTGTCTGCACTCGTGGCTATGCGCTATTCTGCGGGGTCAGCAAGACTGGTAACAGACGTAAGCCAGCACGGCAGGGTCGGAAACAACACCGAGGCTTCTGGATTCAAACTGGGAGGGTCAAAAGGGCCCTTTGCTGATGATTCACACAGCAAACGACCTTGAGAAGCAGCACTGCTGGGTGTCTCTCCAGGAGCACACAATGGGGTAAGCGCTTCCAGCAAAAGCTTGTGTCCAGCTAACAAACAGGCTCAGAGAACAACTCCTGGCTCTGGATGTGAAAATGCTTTCCATTATTAAAGCAAGTGGAGTCCACTGTCTAGAGACCTCTGTGCCAGCAGCGGTCATCTGTGCACACAGGGATGAAACTGTCGACTGAGCTGCCTCTCAAAGAGCAGGAGTGAATACTTGACCCAACATCTCATCAGCAAACACAGCAAAAGAACTGTCACAAAAAGAATTGCTCTACCCAAGTGAATCTCCTAGGTAACAAATACATCCAGAAGCAAACTTCTTGTCTCTCACTTAATCAACACTGATGAAAATCACTCTACAAGAACGTTACTCTCCCCTGCCTTGCGTGTGTGTGTGTGTGTGTGTGTGTGTGAGACACACTCTAGATCCTTATTTGCTTAGACTACAAAAATACTATTTGCTTTTTCACCAATAAGCATTATTTTAGGCTAACACTTCTTTTGAATGATAAAACTAAGATTAAAGAATTTTTTTTCGAAAGTGATAAATGCAGGTTAAAAATAAGCCCAGCAGTATATAAAGTATATATAAAGCATACAAAGAAATTACAACCCCCGTCCACCAGTTGTAAATTCTCATGAGAAACCATATAAAAATTTTATATCTACCCTTCCTAACTGCTTTCGTTAGCATTTATAACTATCACCTGCAAACCCTCTTCTTTCTCCTTCAAGAATACAGATCACTCTGTACATGGTGCCTCTAACTTGTTCTGCTCCGTCAGCCACACCCCGGAGAACCTCCTTCCAGATCTAAGCCCTTCTTAACAGTTGTCCAGCTTTCCGTAATTCATGTAAACAGCTCCCTATTGAGAGAAATTTAAGTTGTCTCCTGTATGTTTGCACAAAAATGCCCGGGGAACGTTCTTATATAACGTTTACCCCTGCAAACCTGAATTCCAGGATAGAGTCCTCCAGGTGGAATTTCTAGTTTATTTTAAGCTTTAGAAGTACTGTCAAATTACTCATCAAAAACCTTGTGCTGGAGGAGGAGGGTATAGCTCAGTGGCAGAGCATGTGCTTAGCATGCACAAGGTACTGGGTTCAATCCCCTGTACCTCCAATGAAAAAAAAAAAATAATAGCAAATAATCTTTTTAAAAAACTGTGTGCTGATTCACCTCTTCCACTCTCACTCAATGCCCATGTTTTAAATAATTAAAAATGTGATTAAAAAAAAGAGAGATTTAATGTTTTGCTTTTCACTGCTTTACTCAAGTACAGCATAGAGAAAAGTGGCAAATCCCAACGAACAGCTCAATGAATTTTCACAAACTGGACCAAGCTGAGTCGTCAGCATCCCCAGCAAGGAACAGGACCCAGCCAGCACCGGGGGCTCCGTACTCACTCTTGGCTACCGCTTCCCTCCTTCAAGGCGAGCAAGCCTCCTGTTTCCTGTCATCCTTGGCTTGGGGCTTCATAGACATAGACTCCTCCAGGACGTACTCTCTCGTTTGGATTCTCTTCCTCAGTACCCTGCGATTCATCCATGACACTGAATGTCGTTTGTTCACTCCCTTGGCTGCGCAGCAATGGTTCCCAAATGTCAGAATCAACCTGATGGGCTCCTCAGCCCACAGGTGGGTGGGCTCCACCCCCAGAGCCTGTGATTAGTAGGTCTAGGAAGGGATCTGAGACCCTGCGTTTCTAACAAGTTCCCACGTGACGCTGATGCTACTGGTCCAGGGACCACACGGTAAGAGCCACCGAAGTATATACAGTACCCTTCCTGTTTGTTTAAGTTTGCATTTTCCTGATCAGTGGTGAGGATGGAAGAGCATCTTTCCAGATGCTTATTAGCCACATTTAGTTCTTTCCGGGTTTACTGGTGTTTTTTCTTAAAAAAATCACTTTCTTACCGATAAATCGTTGCATAACAGGGATGCTAAATGACCACATATGTGGCAATAGTTTCCTATCCAGCTTTTTAAACTTCAAACCACATGGAAGTTTCAAGTTTTCACATAGTTAACTAGTCACTCTTAAAGCCCTCTATTCCTTAGGCTTCCTCAGCATAAGATCATAAAAAATATTCTCTTATATTTTCTTACAGCTTTATATGTATGCTTAAATCTTTAATCCAACTGGAATTGAGTTCTGTATGTGGGGTGAAAAAAGCCCAATTTTATTTTTTTCTAGCAGGATGGTCAAGGGATCTGTTATCACCGACTGGTGACTTCTCATGTATTGGGTCACACTCTGGAATCTTCCGTTCCACGCATCTGTCCCAGTACCGACTCCTGTACCTTCAGCACGTATTTTAGGCTTTTGGGTAAAGATGTCAAAATGAACACATGAATCTAATTTTGTCCCTTCCCAAAATATAGTGGATGAAAACATACCTGACCCAGGTACATCATGAAATCCCAGAACATTAGGTGCAAAGAGAAGATGCTTCAAATAACTAAAGGAAAAACCAAGGACCACAAACAAGAATGGCCTTAACCTTTCCTAAAAGCAAACGGGAAGCATGTTGGAAGACAATGGCAAATGCTTTCACGTTGGAAAATGATTTTGAACCCAGAAATTACGCAGGAAAATGATCAATGAGGAACGAGAGGCGAACACATTTTTTTTTCAGACACG